GAGAAAAACCCAGAGCATGAAAGAGAAAGACCAAGATTAATAAATTCAAACAACTGAGCCCAGAGAAACAGAGATAATTTAGAGAGCAGAGGAGAACTGACAAAAATTCCAGGTAGAATTCTTTTTTTTTTTTTTAAGCTTTTATTTATTTATTTGAAAGAGAGAGAGCGAGTGTGTGTGCATGAGTTGGGGGAGGGTGCAGGGTGGACAGAGGGAGAGGGAGAAGCAGGCTTCCTGCTAAGCAGGGACCCAGACTTGGGGCTCAGTCTCTCAGGAGATCATGACCTGAGCCAAACGCAGATGCCCAACCAGCTAAACCCCTCAAGCACCCCCCAAAGTAGGATTCTTAAAGATTCAAGAATAGATTGCATTCGTAAAATAAGAAGCGGCCATCATGAAAAAGGAACAATCAATGAATAGGAAAGTATTCTTAGAAATAAAAAAAGAAGAACGGATTCGCTGAAGACTAAATTAGTGTTCTGGAAAATAAAATCTCCTAGAATGTAAAGAAATAAAATGAAAAGCTGGAAAATATGTGAGAATAGTTGAAGCATGGAGGATAAATCCAGGAAATTCAAGTTTAAGGATATAATTTTCTTGAGTCAAAGACAAGTGTAAGCCAGATATAATTAAACAGGAAACAGATACCCATGCCTACATACATTCTAGAGAAATTTCAGAACTCCATGGGTAAAAAGAATATCTTAAAATTTTCAGAAAAAGAAAAGAAAAGAAACAACACCAGATTACTTACATTGGATAAGAACGATACCAATCAGACTTCTCATCAGCAGTCCTGTATGTTAGAAGACAACAGGATACTGCATTCACATTCTGGGGCAAAATGATTTTCAACCTGAAAATGTAAACATTGCTGACTGATAGGTAAGTGGAAGGGCAAATACACACATATTTGGACATGTCAGAATCAGAAAGCTTAGTGCTCAAGTAGCCTTTAAAAAATTACTTCAAGAAAATGAAAAAAATAGTATAAGAAAGAGGACATCTTGCATTATAAGAGCAATGAAAGATGTGAAATTTCAGAAAAATCTAAGTGTAAGTATAGCTCATAAAATTCATGTTAGTCACTAGAAGAACTAAAACCAAATATTGTTGACAAGTTTGCCTCTGATGAGTGGAAGTGGGTAGAAAGAACTTTTACCTTGTATTTTATACCCTTCTATATTATCTGAATTTATTTTTGTTTTAAACACAGTTACTTGTAACAAAAAATTTAATAAAAAATTTAAAAGGCACCCCTCCCCCAATCTAGCAGTACTTATAGTCCAAGTGTGTTGTCAGATTCCTTCTTTAGAAATTTTATAAGAAGAGGAACTAGTTCATTTAGCATAGGATGGTTCTGGAAAAAGTCTAAGGTACTGCTGTTAAGACAGGTTTGCAAGTAAAACACTTCAGAAAAATCCTTGATCAATTCAGCACACATAAAAAACAGGAAGATGTAGGCATATATGAAAGATAACTTTCACTTCCTCACAATCACCTGAAAGTGAATCTTGCAAATTAAAACAAAACAACCCAAAACATTCTTTCTCCTTCAAAACGTTCATCATCTTGTCTAAAGTGTAATTGTCCAATTATACCAGCCACATATGGCTGTTGAAACTTGACATGTACCTAGTTCAAATTGAGATATGCTTTAAGGGTAAAATACACATCAGACTTCAAATACTTCCTCTAAAAAACCCCCCTGAAAAAAATCTCATTAATAATTTTAAATACATTAATGACACATTGAAGTGATATTTTGCGGAGCACTGGGTTAAATAAATTTTATTAGAATAAATTTTATATTGATTTTTACCTTTTTATAATGTAGCTATTAGAAAATTTTAAATCCCATATGGGGTCCTTATTTGTGGCTTGTATTATGTTTCTGTTAGACAGCCCTGGTCTAAAGCACCAAAATGTAGCACATGTTCATTACTACTCAATGGGGTTTGTATAAAGAGAGTTCTGAGGGAGAAAACTCATTTTAGCTTTCACTTGCCAAGGAACTCCCCTGGCAATGAAGAAAGGATCAATGCTAGTAATATTAGAACAAGATGGCTCGAGAACAGGAAGCTGGGAGGATAGGGAACACGACTGAATTCAGGGAGAAGCAATGCCAGTCCTGATAAAAAAATTCTGTTGGTTGAATGACTTCCAATAAAATGTTTGCCTCTAAGGGTTGTACTCTTCTAATACCATAAATTATTCTTTTTATATAATTATATTCTCTTAATACTTTCTTTACGCAATGCCATTTTAGCTAGGAATTCTCTGCGTACACCTTACTTGGAATTTTTATATATATATACATATATATATAATATACATAATATATGTATTCATATTTTTTAGGACACTTCCCTAAAGTGATGTGGTAATGATTACATTACTCTAATCCTGTTCCAAGACCTCTATACCGATTCAAATTTCCCATTCAAAGTGGGCAACACATTTCAGAGCAGAAGTTATCTCAGTCCTAGCAGTTATCTTTCAAACAATATTTATCCTTATGTCAACTGAGATTCTCTGACCCATCTGAAAAGGTTACTTTTATCGATAGAGGAAATTTGAATATTTTTCTGTTGAAGATGGATGATTAGCTTATTTCCCGAGGAATGGTACAGTGGATTTGTGTTGTCAGCTTTGTCACTATAGATCATTTGTCATTTGTGATTTTTCACTCTGCCATGAACTATGAAAAACAATGACAGTGTTTATCAACAGAGCAGCTCTGTGGAAGGTAAAAGAAATAACCAAACCAGGCATGAAAGCTTTCTTTACAATAATCAAGAGATGGTAAAAAAAGAGAAATGAGGGATATTAAAAAAGAATCCAGAAACAATAGAAAGTAGGGGTCCTTTTAGCTGCTGACAGTTTTAAAAGATGATATTAGGGAAAGGTTGTGAAAACTTTTACTTTTATATTCTATCAACCCTATATAAGGCTGTTGTTGTGGCCAAACACCTTGGCAGTTAGATTAGGGATGGGCAATTTAACATTTAAACCAGCGATTAGCAAATAGGTCCTATATCAATGTTTGTTAAATAAGTGAGAAAATCCATGACTTATGGTTCTATTTTCTACTTCTATTTTCAAATCTCATTACGTATTAGCATAAGATGTTAAGGTCTCATTACTAAATGGCTGGCTACTTTACGGAGATGGTAATTTGTCCTTTGTTCTTGCTGCTATAGATATTTTTCCCCTTCCCAGGTTGAGGATGAAGCCGGATCTTGCATTTCTTTGCCTACATGCCTTTTGTGTTGCAGTAGGAAGCAGCAGTTGCCAGGCAAGAGAATACAACTCCCTCCTTCTCAGGCTTTTTTTTTTTTTCCCCCAATAGTCTTGGCTCAGTAGGAATTATGTAGAAAGTGATAGAGGTAAGTGCTTGAAGTTTATAGGAGAAAGCTGTGGAATCCAAGGGGAGAGGAAGATTCCTAGACTAAGAGATGGGGCAGGGTTCTAGGAGAGTTTCTGGTTCATAGGTATCATCCCAGGAAGGGGACTGGACAATGCCAGGATGGCTAAGTTCAAGTGTATGGCCTTGAAGGCCATGCACAGGTGTCCTCCGCCTACCTTCAGGAGACCATGTGGGAATGGACAGTGTGTTTACTGGAGACCAGTGTGGACAGTAGCCTAGAGGATTCTTATCCAACTCTTCCCACCAATTACATTCTGGGATCTTTAGTAATACCTGAGAAGGTGAAGAATCCTACCAATGAATGACACTGAATTTCCCACCAACTGGATGTTAAAGTGTCAGCATGGGATAAGATTGTTTAGAATCCATTTCAGGCTAAATGCAATGGTATCAATCATGAAAGTGCTTGCTTGGACAATGACAAATCCCCAGCATGAAATGAAAAACAAATTGTTCACAGAACATGAGAACTAGATGTTACTTCTATGTTCATTCACCTAGTCCAGACTCTTTATTTTTTAGATTATGAAACCAAGGTTTAAGACTTAAAAGAACTTGTTCCAAGGTGTTGGCCCAAAGCCAGTACGGAGATGAGCCAGGGTGTCATCAACCTTCAGCTCACTTTTCTTTCTACCATGCCACTTGAGAAATTCAGATCTATTTGTGATGATTAAATACATTAGTATTCCATCATGGCCATGAAGAGTTCTCATCAAAGTAAATCTCTTACTTTAAGATGAAAAAAAAAGTAATTGGAACTATAAAAATATCAAGGTCTGATGATGGTAGAGGTAAAAACAAACAAACAAACAAACAAACAACAAAAAAAACCATGTCTGCCTGGATTTTCTAGCTTTTTTCACATTATAGAAGTTGTGGGGGAAATGACCTGAACTACCATTACAGTAGTTGATAGTACAGGTTCTGAAAATGAAATACCTCTCCCGAAGGCAGTTTTAATATAGCTACGTATATGTATGTGTGTTAGCACATATACATACACAGAAATCTGTTAGCTACTAAACACTGGGCGGGAGTTTCTTTTCAGGGGTGTGTACATATTTGTATTAAATCTACTTAACAGCTAAAGAAATGATTCATTTATACCTTCTAATTGGGTCTTACTTCTTAAGAATCACCCTGCATGATACTACTTCTAGTTTAATTGTCCTCATTATCCAGTCTTCTTTAATCTACGTCTTTGTCACACATTGCAACCTTTCACTCTTTGCAGGCAAAAGGCTGATTGGAGTTCGATTTTTTTTTCTTTCTGGACATCCACGCCAGAGAGGACTACCATCCTTTGCAGAAGGACCTCCTAGCTGAATAAGAAGCCCACACTGCTATGAGGAGGGCAACCATCAGGAGACCTAACCAAGTAACCTGCAGTTCATTCTCTAGTCCTTGGGTGTCTTGGAGTTTGGACCCTGCTCTAGACAGGCTCAAAGGGAAGGGTGTGGGCAGGGTGATGGCCACATGGTGAAAGCCTGTCCTTCGAATGAGGCATCACTGAGAGATCATACACGCCAGGAGGTTCGTCTGGTGGGTCCGTCCTTATCCAGCCATCTGCTCAGATGTTCCGATAGGGGTCTCTGTGCCAGCAGGGCCCATGGCGGAGGAGGGTAAACAGCAGCACCACCAGGACACCAGACACCAGGCAAAAGGCAACGGCAAGGACGACCCTTAGAACTGTGGAAAAATTGGAAAAGCAATAACGTAAAATTAATGGATTGGGAAAATATAAAGATTGTAAAATTAATAGATGAGGAAAATAGGAAGATCATACATCAGTGCCTTAATGGTAAACCTCAGTGGCATTTCTGAGGCAACCTTGAAATCAGCATAGTGTGTTGATAAGAAAACTAGACTAGGAGTCAGGAGATGACCTAGGGTCCAGTTCTGGTATGAACTTTGACCTCTGGGCCTAAGCTCCACTATAAAGGGAGGGTAATTAAAGTATTTTGTTCTTTCTTTCTTTCTTTTTTTTTTGTTTTTTAAGATTTATTTATGTAGGGGTGTCTGGGTGGCTCAGTCAGTTAAGCGTCTGCCTTCAGCTCAGGTCATAATCTCAGTGTCCTAGGATCAAGCCCTGCATAGGGCTCCCTGCTCACCAGGGAGTTTGCTTTTCCCTCTCCCTCTGCCTCTCCACTTACGCTCTCTCTTTCTCTCAGATAAATGAATGAAACTTAAAAAAAAAATGCATTAAGTAAATAAAAGACTTATTTATTTATTTGATAGAGGGAGACAGACAAAGAGACCACAAGAGGGGTAGGGTGGGATGGGGGATGGAGTGGCAAGCAGATTCCCTGCTGAGCAGGGAGCCTGTTATGGGATGGGATCCTAGGACCCTGAGATCATGACCTGAGCAAAGTCAGATGCTTAACTGACTGACCCACCCAGCTGCCTTCCCTCTCCTTTTTTTTTTTTTTTTGACTGAAGTATTTCTAAGGTCCTTTTCCAGCATTAACTTTATGCATTATAATATAGTTAAAATGATCAATTGCTAATAGTTTCAGGGTCAAAGGAAATACTATCATTAATTGGGTCTAAAAGAAATGGAATAACATCTTTTAGTTTCTGAATATGATTTTCAGTAAGTATCTTTCAGAGAGGAAACCTTGAGCACATGTTAACAATGACAAGCATTTTTAGGACAACTGTGTACTATTGGCTAATCTGTACCTTTATTTATACATATCCCTTTGGTAGCCGACTAGTTGTGGGGAGATACATGGGGTCATTTTTTATGAGATGCTATTCATTATTTCATCTGGAAAGTTACCCTCTACACACACACACACACACACACACACACACACACACTAGTCCATGATACTGTATAAATCATAAATATCAATTTATACCATCTCTAAAGGTATGTTGGATCCTCACTGTAAAAATAAAGGATTGCTTGTTGGCTTAGGCAGTGGGAGAGCAAACATCTTTCTGACTGTGGCAGCTCTGTCTACAGAAGCCCAAGTGCTCCACTGAACACAGCTGAAAATCACTTACTTAACCTAACCTTATCATTGCACAGATGAAGGACAAAAAGAAGAGGGATTAGGTGATTTGGCTAAGGATAGCAGATAATTGTATTTGGGTTGGAAATGTGGGCTTAACAGTCTCATGGTTTTGAAAACTATCTATTCATTAATGACTCCCATATTTAAATCTGCCCCAAATATATTCATAGGCTGATATATTCAACTGCGTATTTGACATAGTCCCTTGGACATCTAATAGGCATTTCAATCTCAACAAGTCCAAAACTAAAATCTCAATTCCCTGTGCCCTCCCCTGCCTCAAACTCTGTTCTTCCTGTAACGTTTCCCATTTCAGCTGATGGAAACTTCCTTCTAGTGCCCCAGCCCCAAAGTCTTGGAAACTTCCTCTCTTTCTCTCACATTTTGTAATCAATCTTTCAGGAAATCCTGTTGGCTCTACCAAAAACTATACCCAGAAACCAATGATTTCTCCCCTTCTCTGCCACCACCCTGTTTTGAACCACAATCAACTTTTGCCAGAATCACTACAACATCCTCCTGACTTGTTCCCTATTTTCTGTCCTTTCTCCCCTACAGTCTATCTCCAACACAACAGCCAAATGACTTCAAGTCAAATCATGACACTCTGCTACCTAAAACAAAGTTTGCAATGAATGTTTATCTCACTCAGAATAAAACCCAAAGTCGTAATGACAATAGTTTATAACGCTCTGTAACACTTGGCTTGATTAACCTCTTGGAGTTCTTCTCCTCCCACTCTCCTTTCACTTACTCTCTTTTGGCCACACAGGCCTTCCTGTTGTTCTTAGACATCCCAGAAACACCCCCATTTACTGCCTTTGCTATAGTTGCTACCCTCACCTAGATGCTCTTCTCACGAATCTCTGCATTAGGTAACTCCATCACCTTCTTTGCTCAAATCTCGAATATATATATTTTTCAGATGTATGTATTTATTTCAAGGAGAGAAAGTGAGCAGAGGGAAGGGCAGAAGGAAAGAATCTGAAGCAAACTCCCCCCTGAACCTGGAGCCAGATTTGGGGCTTGATCCTACAACTCTGAGATCAAGACCTGAGCTGAAATCCAGACTCTGATGCCTAACCAACTGAGCCAACCAGTATCCCCTCAAATCTCATCTCTCAGTGAGGGCTTTCTATTTATTTATTTTTTATTATTTTTTAAAGATTTTATTTATTTATCTGACAGAGAGAGAGATTACAAGCAGGCAGAGAGGCAGGCAGAGAGAGAGGGGGAAGCAGGCTCCCCGATGAGCAGAGAGCCTGATGTGGGGCTCGATCCCAGGACCCTGAGATCATGACCTGAGCCGAAGGCAGAGGCCTTAACCCACTGAGCCATCCAGGCACCCCGAGGGCTTTCTATTTAAAGGGACAACCCAATATGCCCTTTCCTCATGCCCACCCCCAGCTTGGCACTTACAATCCTCACCTTCCACAGTGTTTATTATGTTTATTATTTATTATCCATCCCTCTTGCCCTTTAATAGAACATAAGCTTCATGAAGGCAGAAATCTTTGTCTTTTTTGTTCATGAACGTAATCCAGGCACTTATAATAGTACCTGGCACATAGAAGGTGCTTGATAAATATTTGTGGAAAGAATTACTGATCTAGAACTCAGTGGTCTTCTCCTGATGTCAGGATGCCTCTTAGCATCATGAGAAGGTGAATATTAATAAAGTTGGATCCTGGTGGACAGGTGCCATTACCACTGTGAATGCAGTTAATATAAAGGTGGAGGGAAATGAACAGACTTGAGGAAGGAAGGAAAGATCTAAATGGAAACGAGGGAAGAAGGCAGACACTAATGATTCTTTAAAATTAATGTCCATGGATGACCATATCTGAAAATTTATTTACAATTATTTTTATTGGCTATGTTGTCATAGTAGTCCCATGGAGTATGCTTTCTCAATCTTTTTCCTTCCTTCTTTTCTAGACATGCAGTGGGAACACACCATATGGTAGGCCAGTTATTAGCCTAACCCAGTACTGGATTCTGGATTTCTATGACCCTTGTTTTTGGGATCATCGACATCTAGTGGGAGAACCTGATAGACAGTTATGAGATCATGTGATGAACAGTAAAATAAAAGTGTAAAAGACTTGCCATTAGAGTAGAGAAAAAGCTGAGATTAACACAAAGCTTTCTATTTAGAAGAGAAAGAGGTTGGAAAGCCTTTTGAGAAATGCTAAGATTTGAGCTGGCCTTTGAAGTAAATAAGACTTTGCCATGAGACAGAATGAGTTGCATACGAGTGTGTTTGGGAAATGATGAGCAGTAGCTGGAGTATAGCCTCTGGTGAGTACAGGTTCAGAGAGGTAGGTTGGGGCCTAGGTCTTAGAAGGTCTGGTTTGTCTTGGACACATGGAAATCATTAGCAAGTAGGACACATGGAAGTGACAGGGCTCAATTTGTGCTTAAAACAAGAAAACCACTGCAAAGAAAGGATGGTGGAGATGTTCTAGGCCTGATAACTGCAGAAATGCCTTTGACAAGATACTGAGGGCTCAGCACTGGAAGTGTGGTCCTGATAGTGAGGACGAGGGAATTCTAGCAGACCCCAAATTGGCCCTGCTGTGGACTAAATGTACTGGTAAAGGAGAAGCGGAATCCCAGGCACCCATGGGTTCTTGTTTGGGTAAAGGAGATGATCAGGCTATGAACTGAAACTGGAAGCACATTAAAAAGGATCAGTTTGGAGTGGAGGACATAATAATTTTCATTTCAGATGTAGGATTGAGATGGCTTATTATCCTCGTAGAAACGATCATTAGGCGGCTGGAGAAAACAGGTCTAGAATGCTACATGGAGACATGGAAGTAAGGATTGTAGGTGTAGAAGATGGAGGCCTGGGTGATACTGGCTCATGGTGAGGGTAGCGTGAGGGCACCAAGGACAACACATAGGATGTGAACATTTAGGGGCTGGAAGAAGGGATGAGCCTGAGAACACAGAAAAGACTCAGGAAACAGTCTCTCTCTTTCTTGCCCTAATTTTTAAAATTATACACTCCCTGGTACTGTGAAGGATTTTGTGAGTTTGACAGAGTCATGTTCTAGGATCTGAGAAAGAGAGGGCGTGATCAGTTGTATCTTGTGCGAAGAGACAGTGCTGGAAGTGACTGAACGCCCTCTTACCACACGGGGACATGTGAAACACGTGAAAGCTGCTGAAGGCAGTGTGCATCAGCATTACTTTGCTGGAAACTATTTTGGCAATAAGTATTAAAAGCCCCTACCTCCAAGTCCCGTCTGCTCGTCCTCTTTCCCCTTTGAGTAAGTGTGCCCTCATCCCCATCCTTGGATTATTGCAACAGCCTTCCAGCCCTGCTCCCTGCCTTCAGTCCCACTGCTCTCCAATCCGCTCTCCCCAAGGAGCGCAGAGGTATTTCTAAAACAAGAAGCCAGTCCCATCATATGTCCTCTGCCTAACCATTTTTTTTTTTTTAAAGATTTTATTTACCTGAGAGAGAGTGAATGAGAGGGAGCAGGACCAGGGGGAAGAGAAGAGGGAGGGGTTAGGAGAAGGAGAATCAGGCTCCCTGCTGAGCAGGGGACCTGATGTAGGACTTGATCCCAGGACCTGACCTGAGCTGAAGGCAGACACTTAACCAACTGACCCATCCAGGTGCCATCTGCTTAAAACCTTTTAAAGGCCAGAGCT